GTAAAGAAGAGTTTTTGCATCACAGATGAGCAAAGGAAATTAAAGATAGAAAGTACAGACACTTAAAACAGATTAGTACTTACCCACTATTGTGTTGCAAAAAAGATTTTGTATATGACAGATAAATGAAGGAAATTAAAGGTAGAAAGGACAATCATAAATCTTTAATTAATATAGAATAAGTACTTACATCCTATTGGGTTTTAAAGAAGAGTTTGTGTTTTCAGTAAGATAATTAATCAAAAGTAGCAATCAAATCAATAATAATGATAACAATTATAATGACAGCTAAGTGAACTATTATACCATGATCCACTTCAGAAATGACAGATCTAGGCATCAACTTTTCACCAGTGACTTCCTTTCATCCATGATCTAGACATCCAGTCCACCCCTCTCTCTCTGTTATTGTAAATAAACCCATAGATTGTATCTAATCAATACTATCAAGTATAATTCATTGATTTTTTGATTGCACAGTAGATCTATTTAATTAGCATTATATAGACTATATATTAGCATTATATAGACTATATATAAGCATTCTGCATTCTTTTTATTATTAATAAGCTTAGTCATACTACTATAAAACTAGATTGCTGATAAAAATTAATTAGAGTTGATGATTTTAAATAATAGAACATGAATGACATCAACACAATTTAATAAAGAATACATCATTACATCATTACATAACTACAGTTCATTACAGTTCTGTCTTTTCCTTTTCTTTCTCTCTTTCCTTCTTTGCTGCTTCCTCCTCTTCTTCTTTTAACTTTCTTTTACGAATCTCCTGCAGTACCTCAATTGGTGGCTCTGAAAATATAAATTAAATTTATCATATCCACTATTGTGGTTATACCATAGCATAAAAAATACACTAGTAATGTATTGTCCTAACCTGTCACTGTACTATCCTTGGATAGACTAGCAATGGATAGGCAGAATAGACACGTAAATCTCTAGTAGTGTTCTCATGATAATGGATCCAATCACTCCTGTAACATATTAATATAACTCAATAGTGTCTCATTTGAAGCATTGGAAGTTTTAATTGGAGCATGTCTCATTAAAAAAACCTTGGGATATAGAGTCTGTGCTTTTTTCTAAAAGATGCTAATTTTTAGGCAATAACTCAAAAAATTATAGTTGAATTCAGCTCAAACTTTCTACATAGCATAAGGTATCAAAAAATTAACATAATTAAGAGTTGACACCAATATTGACAATACTTACTCAGGATGGTCATTAGACTTTCCTAGTATGTACTCATCAACTGGTAGTATATTCTCACAAGGTCTCCCAGCTATCAGTTTCTCTGCTCCTCTATTTCATATTATATAACCTAACGTCCAATATGAGTACCGAGGTATTACAAGGTTCTTTGTTCCTGGAATAATACTCTCAACATTTGGACTCAGCTCTTTACGACCAACATAACTAAAAAGTGACAAATAAACTATTTATTTAAACTGTTACTGATTAACACAAGGTCCCAGTCAGGATCATGACTGTTCACTTCTTGTAATGTTCT